CAGCTGCTTAGTTCTTGTTAGTGTTAACTTACGGGCAGGAAAAGGTGCTCCACAACTGCCAGTTTTCTGCGTCTGGGGCTGCTCCAGCCTTTGACGTAGGACCTCCGTGGGGCTCACCGGTGTACAAATGAACAAACGCAAGAAGTGGAGTAGCTGGCATTCAGATACGTCTGATCTTGTGAAGGACCATTACCCTTCCCAAGAAATCCCACTCTGACTTGCTGCTGGGGGGCTTTCACCATGGTGTTGGAAGTGACATTGCTGAGAGGTGTGCTGGTGTAGAATCAATGGAGGAGACATTCAGATCATTCTTTTGCAGCTCAGGGGTTAAGTCCGTTGTCCTCCTGTGTCTCGTCAGCAGTGACCTACCTAGTTAATGTCCAAAGTGCTGTTAAATCATGGTGTAAACAAACAACACACAGGCAGTGTCGTTTCCTAACCCTTTGCTGTTAGAGCAGTCTTTGAGAGTCCTTAGAAGAGGTTAAAACAGCTCAAGCTCATTGTCTTTTCAGAAATCGTAGGCCGAGTTGGTTGCGGGGGGGGGGCAAACAGTTAGCAAGCCACGAAGCTTCAGGCAGGTAAACAAAATCACATCTGCGGAGACCAAGCCCAACTTTGGCTCCCAAGGGAAAAGAATGGCACCTCCACGGAATGGTAAACCTTGTGAATTATACAGTTGGCACAGTAGGTATCAGAACACAGCAACAAGGTACTCTACTTGTTAACGATCATAATTTAGAGAAAACAAACGGGGAACTGCATAGCCTGTTTTGCAGCGGGATGCTAAATCTCTGCCGAGGAGAATTCCCACTGCAGACAGGCTGTGCAAACGAAGCTCCTCTTTGTAAAGAGAATGCATGATTTGAACAGATGAGTTCTTCCCCTGACTGAGCATAGCTACATCTGCAGCAGTCATTGACTGAACATCCGGGACGAAGAGATGCTTAGAGGAGGTGATTTTTCCCTATTCCCTCTCTGCACTTCTGTCTGACGAAAAATACCTCCACTCATGGGCTTGCTGCTGACGGACCCACGGCACTGACACGCAGCGTGGCAGGGACTCCGGCTCAAACACGGGTTTTCCCCAGCTCAGCTGGGTACCTGGCTGAGGTCATGGCCAAGGAAGCTGTTGGCGCTAGGGTCAGGGGGAACACTGCAGCACTAGGAACCTTCCAGCCAAAAGAGCGCGTTAGCAAGCCGATTCCAGACGTGTAGCCGAGGCGACGGAAAGTCCCAGCAGCAACGCTGCCTCTCCTCCGTGCAGTTTGTGCTTTACACAGAGCGATTGTTCTGTGGCAAACAGCAAATGATTTAAAGGAATGTCTGTGACAGGAACCTGACAGAGTTTTCTTCCCTCCCTACTCCCTAATTACAGTGTGGTTTTTCCATGGGGAGTCCAGGAGGCCCTGCATTATTCAGGGTATTTTAAGGAACAAAAAAGAAAGGAATTTGACTACCGTTTCTTTGTTTGTAAATTATGCGACTGTCGATGCCTCCATAAAACGTGAAAACGCACTTGGAAAAACTCTGGGACCCTAGGTACCTAGGATTTGAATAGCTGGAGCTCGGTGTACGAAGCAGTGAGCACGTTTCACTATGAACTTCATCAAGGGTGAGATCGAATCTTCGGACAAAAGCTTTCTAACGGGCGATTTCCCCAAAATCAAACACTTCTGACTGTGAATGCCTTTCTTCATACTGATAATAGTGCAAGTTTCCAAATCAAGCTTTTCGCCTCAGTGTAATCACGCTTATGGCTTTGCTAGTCATTCATGGAAAGATTTTTGACAATGGAGGGTGTGTCTGCTCTTTGGTAACACCAGGACAGTTAAAGGGCTCCTTCTTCACCTCCTGAAACCGCATTTCACTGTATTTCTACAGGCATTGGAGCTGGGAGTTTGGTTTTCTGCAGATTTAGCTCTGGAATTGTTTGGCTTGGGTGTTTAGTCAGACTTGAGATGTTAATTAAAGCTTTTTTGGCCGCTGGTGAGGCATACAGGAGGGTGTTTTCTCCCGTGGAAATGTAACAGTGTCTGAGGGTGTGAGTTCACCGTAGAATGTAGTAATAAAGCCATTTTTTCTCTGCCTGGACAGGCGTTTTACTGTCTTTCCATCAGATTGGGTAGGAATTGGTCAACGCATTCAAACGCAGAGGAAAAAGAGGTTCCTTCTCGACAAATCCCGCCCGAGGGGATGCACACGCGCGTGTGCTCCCCTCGGTCAAGCAGTGCTTCTTCATCGGTGGCGTGAAAGACGTACCACACGGGGCAGAAAAAAAGGGTGGAAAGTTGAAAATGGCCCCGAGTTGGCTGCACTGATGACTGCAAACCTGAGTGATCAGAGGGATGGGTTTTTTCAGTGCTGCGATGGCTTCAGCTCTACCTTCTCACCCTTTCCAAAACTGAGAGGGTTTTAAGAAAAAATCCCTGCGGAGAAAAACGTCTGTCTTTCTGGGGAGGTTTGCGAGCTGGCTGCCGGAGATGGCAGCCGCCAGTCAGGGTCCTTTTCTTGCACAGTTTAAACGGTGGCAGATATTCCCCGTGCAGGACAAAGCTGATTATTAATCCAGGAGTTCTTCATGCTTTGCATGAAGAGAAGTTTTAAGTTCCTTCCGTCTTACAAACACGGCGCTTATCCTTGTGTGGTAAAGGTGAATAATTAAAGAAAAAGAAGATAATAATCATAGAATCATAGAATCATAGAATCACTAGGTTGGAAAAGCCCTTAGAGATCATCCAGTCCAACCGTATCTGTCCACCACTAAACCCTATCTCTCAGCACCTCATCCACCCGTCTCTTAAACACATCCAGGGATGGTGACTCCACCACCTCCCTGGGCAGCCTGTTCCAGTGTGTGATAACCCTTTCGGTGAAGAAAATGAATAATGAATAATGAATAATGAAAAGAGCCAGAGTTTTTCTTCCTTCCTTATAGGTTATGGCGTCATGGCTGATGGAACTACTACCTATGTGAACGCCTCTGTGTGCACTGTGAACTACCAGCCACTTAACCCACCTATAGTTATTGACTTACCGACTCCGAGGAACACATGATTGTAGCCAGGATTGAAGGTCGTACCCAACACATTAGCAACTTTCTATTGCTGCCTGAGAATCCCCATAGGGAACCATTCAACAAAAAAGCAAAACCCTTCTTCTTTCTTCCCTGCTAGCTCTTCACAGATAAATTTTGAGTGACGAAAGTGGACGAGGAACAGAGACGTTTCGGTGCCGGAAGCAGATTAAAGACTTTAACATTTCACCATTAAAATATTTGTGAACACAAAAAAGTGAATGCATTCCACATATATATATATATACACATATCCATAGGTATCTCTCTCTCAAGTAGGGACTGCTGTATATACCGTACGTTACATTGGACTCGCTGAAAGAACCCTGTCTTTCAAAGGAGCGTTTCTTTAAGGGCGTTTGCAGTTTAAACTTCAGTGTTTAGACTAGGATTTCCTCATTTCAGATGTTTCCCAGTGAGCTCTTGGTAAAAGAAAAACGATGGTAAAGATGTTTTCCCTTAATTAACATGGCAAATGTGAAAGATGGGTGCACGAGTGACCAGTCACAGGAGGAAAGCTGTTGCTGCAAAGTCCTCCGGGTCTAAGTCTTTGCATCTCTTCGAAACCAGTGTGAGAGAGGCCCTAATTCACTGCAATGAAATGAAGTTTTACTACATCTGGCGTTACAGATGGTAAGGGAAATGGTGCATATTGCTGGCATGCTGTAAACAGCCCAACATGCAGGAAGGGAGACGGTGTTAAGTGCAGTATAAACTCAGGAATTTGTAACCTGGCCTCGCCTGTGAGAAAAAGGATGACATTTCCCTTAAAAAAAAAAAAAAAAAGAGAAAAGAAAATGTAACTTTTCATGCGGTGAGGCGATGCGTGCGTTAAAAGGAAAACACCACCACAGAACCCCCGCCCCGTGTTCGGTTGTGGTCTGTTAGACAAAACCCGCTGCGGCTGCGTGTTTCAGACCCGTTACCGGGACCCGGAGCCAGCCACGAGGCTCCTGCTTTGAATTTGGCCCCAGCCAGAAGTGACTGAACGTCCCTGTGACCGTTCCGTCCTGGGGGGACGTCGTGGATGTCGAGGGGAAGGGGGTCATCCCAAGGTGGGTAGCAGCGTAGTGGCGTACGCGCGATAGGTAAGGAGTACAGGCGGATGGGTGCAGAGCAGGGGTCGCCTCGCTGAACCTCCCGACGCCGCTGGGGGAGACCAGATGTCAACCCGGCTGAAATCCCTCTGTCGCGTTGCATGTGATGCCGGGCAGAGCAGGGAGGTGTCAGGAGCCGGTCGGGATGGCCAACGCCCCTGCGGCCTTCCTGCAGGTCAACAGGTGCTGCTGGGGTTGCAGGCCCGTCCTGGGCAGAAGCCTGAGAATTGGTCACAGACCCACCAAAAAGAAGCGTGCCCTACAAAAAACGGGGTTCTGCCTTGAGCTGACCAACATCCCCCTGCTCAAAGAGGAGCCCTGGTGAGGATACATTACCTGCTGCAT